CGGCCGCCGCCCTCGGCGCAAGTGGGAGGTGTTCCCAGGCCGCAACCGCTTCTACTGCGGCGGCCGCCTCATGCTGGCCGGCCACGGCGGCGTCTTCGCGCTCACGCTGCTGCTCATCCTCACCACCACCATCCTCTTCTTCGTCTTCGAGTGAGTTCGGCAGCGCCCCACGCCCCTCCCCTCTCATGCGCCCCAACCCCTCGAGTCCTCTCCACCCCCTGCCGACTGCCCCCTCCCCCCTCTTTGCTGGGCACAGCATCTTCCCATGTCCTCGTTCGGCGCTCCATCGTCTCTGGTCCCCTGCCGCTCACTCTATCCTCCCGGGGTGCCCCACCCTTCCCAGCCCTGCCAGGCGCTTTCCCCACCCATGTCCCTTTAAGCATATGCCCTTAGGCCTTGTCCTGTCCTCTCCACCTCTCCTAACCACCCCGGCACTCCCATCTCCCCAGCCCTTTCCTAGCACCCTGCCGCTGCCTTCCCTGCTAGGAACACTACCCTCCCATGGCCCTTCACGACCTCACTGTCTTCTCAGAATCTGTTCCCCAGGCATCCCTTACTCCTCTTCTCACTTGTTCCTCAGACCATCTTTTGTCCATCCCCCAAATTTCTTTTACGTATTTTCTTTATATCCATTCCAAGCAGCTTATAAATTTCTTTGGCCTTGTTCTTTTGGTAAAGCTTATAAATTTCTTTCTTGCTGTATACACTCCCATCATAAATTTCCTAGTCTCCATCCCCTTTCCTTCCAAGGTCCTGTCATCTCTGTACTCTCAGACCCTCTACTGCCTGCTTTCCCCTCAGTCATTCTCACTTAAGGCAACTTCTCTCAAACATCTCTGAGCCTCTAAGGCCCTCTCTTCCTCCACATCACTTTTCTTAGTTTCTCCAGAGCTTCCTGCCCTTCCCTCAATCTCCATGTGCACTCCCTCCTCAAATCTCCCTGGCTCCTGCCCCCACCTCCTGACCTCATGGCTTTCTTTCTCTTCTCAAAATTCTGGAGCATCCTTCTGGCCTGTCCACGTCAGGAACAGCTGCAGTGCCTTGTTATTTTTCAAGACAGTGTCCAGAGTGTTTTCATGTAACAGATCATATTTGCCCCACAGGTTTCTGGCCTCTTCATCTCCTCAGTGGCCCAGGATTGGCCCATTTGGGGGACAGCATCTCCATTTTGTGGATGGAGGGGTGGACTTACTACTTTACCAGGGTCACATACTTGTATTATAAGCCTACCGGTCTCTGGCTTGAGACACCTGCTGCATGATTCCTTATACACACATTCATACATACGCATGAGCACCCCACACCCCCATGCTGCATGAACTTCATCTTCCCCTCTGTAGTTCTGCCCATCCTTTGTGGTCTTCTTCCGTTAATTATACAACATGGTAGGAAATTCTTATCTTTGGAGCAAAGGACCCGATTTGAATCCCAGCTCCACTGCTCACTAATGTGTGACTCTCTGGGGAGACCCTTCCGCTTCTCAGGGCCTCTGTCTCCTCATCTGTAGAATGAGGTTGATAACAGTCCTCACCTCCCAAGGTTGTTATGAGGTTAGCAGAGGCAGTACATGGAAAGCTCTTAGCCCAGTAATAAGCACTTCACTGCTGGCTGCTGTTATTATTGTTTGTCTTTACCAAAAGAACAAGGCCCAAGGTCATGTAGCCTAGGTAGGCTGCCACAAATACCCAGCCCCTAGGTGTTCTCTGCTAGATCAAGGATCTGCAACCTCGGTTTCCCCTTGAAGCATGGTGAGGACTTCCTATGAATTAGCTTCTCCCTTTTGCCCTTTCACCAAATACTCTGCCCTTCCTTTCTGAGTCAGGGTGGATGACGAAGAGTTCAGGGATGATTTGACAACCAGAAGCTCTGGGGAATTCTGAGCCCCCAGCAGGGTCCCTGGGCTGAGTTTCATATCCACCTTACCCGGCCACCTATGTGGAGGTTTAGAAGTGCCTTATCCAGTATTCTCATTTCTGAGCAAGGAGGTGCAGGGGCTGCGGCTGAGGCAGGAGGAAGTGGTACTTGCTGTGGTTGGGCCCCATGATCCTGCAGTGTGGGATTTGGTCAGTTCAGGAGCAGGACCTTCGGGACTGAGTGGGTATCTTCACTGGTGACTGTGTTTTTGCCAGAGAGGGAGAAGGCAAGACTTCGGGTTTCTGGAGAGCTGTGAATCATCTTGTGTTTTGTCTCTACTCCTCCTCGCTTAGAGTGGTGGATTTGGCAGGAGGGTTTGTCTTTGGGTTTGGGTGAGACCTCAGGAGAACCTGGTGAGGTGGGAATGCTGTTGGTAAGAGCTAGGGGCCTGGGCAGACACTCACGCTCCCCCCCTTGCTCTGGAAGAAGGGGAAGGTGGCCATTCCTGCCATGAATGGTTTTGCTTTATTGTCTGATGGATTATCACTCAGGGCTTCCAGTTTCTGAGCCCTACTCCCAGCCCTATACAGCAGCCAGAGTGTCCCTTTAATTCTAAGTCCACATTTTCCTTGTTTTCCCATCTCCCCTACCCCCAATAAGTGCCAAAGCCCTGTTGATGGACTTCCCTCTGGCTCCTTCTCCCTGTTCATCCCCATCTCTTCCCACTCACCTCTGCCCTTCCCCTCCAGCCACATTGACCTCCTGATACACTCCTATCTCTGGGCATTTGCTCTGCTTGGAATACCCTTCCCTGTTGTTGTTGTTGTGTGCCCTTGAGTTGGACCGGACCCTACTCATAGCAACTCCTCCTTGGGTTTCCGAGGCAATATCACTACAGAAGTAGATTGCCCAACCTTCCTTCTGAGGAGTGGCTGGTGGGTTTGAACTGCCAGTAGTCAAGTGCTTTAGGCACTATGATACCAGAGCTCCTACCCTTCCCTAGGTAGCCCTATAAAGTAGCAAACTACTTCCCTTTGTCCTGTCCCTTCTTACCCTGATTTTTGTGCTCCAAAGTGCTTGCCACCATCCAACATCCTATATGTATACTGTTTGTTTCTTGCCTCTCTTTCTTCATAAGAGTAGGCCTTTGTTTTGTTCACTGTTGTATCCTCAGGCCTAGAACATAGAGCAGTGCCTGGTATGTAGTAGGTGCTCAATACAGTAAATATTTGTGAATGATTGAATGGACAGAACATACACTAGGAGCCCAGAGACTCCAGTCCTGTCGTTGGCTGGCTGGGTAACCTTAAATTGGCTGTGGCTCTCAGAGTCCCCCTCTGTACAATCAGGACATAGAATTTGTTGGTTCCTGAGGTCTCTACTAGTCTCAGATTTCAAGTCCGCTCTATCCTTCAAGAAATCTAGTTGTACATGAACTGATTGAGGTGCCATGGGGCAACAGTGTTTGAGAGTGAGGTCCAACGAATGCTGAGATCTGTGGAGCAGAGCACGGCTTGCTTAAGCCATTGGTTGGCAGTCTCTGGTGTGTGTCTCTAGTGGCCAGAGCGTCGGTTGATGGAGGCTCCAGAAGCAGTGCCTAGGTGCCCACTGAGTGTGGCTGGTTTGCTTGCTGCTACTCTGCCAGTCTGTAGGCCTAGCCACTGAAACCTGAGGCTCCTGGGCTGGTGGCTGACTCTCTGGCCTCCCAGCTAGGAGCCCTTCCTCCCATCAGGTGCCAGTCTGGCTCTGGGAAGGAAAGCAGCACAGGCCAGAGGTTAACGATACGGCCTAGAAGCCAGACTTGGCACGTATCCCCGCTTTGGCACTCCTGAGCTGCGCAACCTCAGGCAGGTTACTAAAGCTCTCTGAGCTTCAGTTTCCTCATCTGTAAAGTAAGGAGCATGTCTCAGAGATTTGTGGTGAGGATTTGATGAGAAAGTACATGAAAAGTGTTTAGCAAAGTTCCTGGCACATGGGAACTCTTCCATACTTCAAATATTAGTATAATGATTTATTAATTAAGGCAGCATCTGGCACACAGTATGCCTTTGAAAGATGGTAGCTATTTTTCTGTCCCCTGACACCAGGGAAAAACTGCATTCATTCACTCAGCAATGACTTATTGGGGAATCTTTCTGGTGCCAGGTGCTGTGAGTGTGCTGGGAATTTAATAGTGAACAAGAGTGCAGAGTCTTTGTCCTCAGAGAAGTTGATGTTCTAGTGGGGGAGATGCAGCCAGCACATAAACAGGCAAGTAAGTAATTGAAGTTTATAATGAATGCTATGCAGGAAAGAAAAAGCACTGTGGCAGAAAATTACAGAGAGGCCTGCTGTATAGAGTTGTCAAGGAAAGTATTTCTGAGTAGGGACAAGCATTCCAGAGAGAGGGAACCACAAGTGCAAAGGCCCTGAGGTGGGAAAGAACTAGACTTGTTCCAGGAACTGTCACGAGGCCAGTGTGACAGGAGTAGCAGGCCAAGGGAAATGAGGCTGGAGGAGCCTTTGGTAGGGTCCCAGTCATACTTGGCTTAGAAGACCATGGTGGGGAGTTTAGATTTTATTCCAAATATGATAAGCACTGGAAGGTATTAAGCAGAGAGATGACATGATCTGACACTTCAGCTCTGGCATCTGGAAGGACAATGGAGTGGCAACAGAGAAGAGTGGTGATTAGACCTGATAGATTCATTCCATCACAAAAGCTATGCTTCTACCAGTGTCCAAAACTTCTAGAATGTTCTAGCCCTAAAATGAAAAGGAGGAGTGTGAGCCCCTGTGGTAGGCAGCCTGTCTGGTAGAAGAGGAGGCACGTGGTGGAACCCCTGAGACTATGGCCCCCAGCTGCCCTTCAGCTCTGGAATTGAACCCACACCTGTGGCTTCCAGCCAAACAAAAGACAGGCATATGAGTTGAACATTG